TGTGCCATGACCCTGGCAGGCTGGGAAGGCCGAGGAGGGACTGCAGCGTGAGCGCCTACTGAGTGAGCCCCCCCTCCCTGTCCCGCTCAAATAAAGAAATAAAATTTTTAAAAAACGTAATGGTGAGGGCCAATAGGTGGCATGGTGGCTGACCACGGTTTGAGTCCCACACCCAATGGCTTGGAAACCATGCCTGGAACACGTGTGTGCGTGCATGCTCAAAACGCCCTAAGGAGAATGGAGGAGAAAGGACTGTGGCATGGCCATCCCCCGGGGATGATTGCTCGCTTCCCCACCCCAGTCTCTCAGGTGAGCACATGCACCCTATGGCAAAATTTGAAAGAAAAAAAAATAAAAGTAACGCGGGTCCTCTCTGCGCAGGGCCCGTGCTGGTGCTGGAGATGCCAGGGCAGGTGGGCCGGGTCTCCACCATGGAGGAGCAGGAGCTGCAGGCAGCCCGCGCAGCCAGGCCGGCCAGAGCCGCGTTCCCTTCACAGGCTGCTCAGTGCCATGCATGTGCCCGTCGGGGCCACCGGGCAGGCGTGAAGCGCACAGTCAGGCTGCGATCGGACACCACGGTGTTGACACAGCCGGCAGGCCGGGCTCTGGGTTCCAGCCGGCTCAGTCTGCTCCAGGGAATAGCCTTGTTTCCGCACACAGGCTGTGGGGCTCCCCACAAGTGGGGATCTGCCCTCTGCCCACGCCCCTGGCCACAGCAAGCCCCGTGGTGAAGCCCTGCATCTCTGAGAGGGGCTGTAGAGTGCTCACAGGGCCACGTAGGGGAGGGAGCACTTGCTGAAATAGCCACTCACCTCCCCCCGGGCCCTGTTTTATACAACCCTTGCACTAAGGACTGTTCCCAGGAAGCAGAGCGGAAGCTGAGGAGGAAGCAGCAGAGATGGGGCCCACGCAGCTGAGGTAGTCACTGGACCCCTAGAAAGGCCCCGAGGCTGAGGCCTCCTAGACATCAACGCTGGAAAGGTGGGGACAGCTGCAGTGGAAAGCCAAGGGGAAACCGGTAATGAGAACAGGTCAGCGGAGGCCCTGCCGGGAGGAGGGACCTCTGCCGTAGAGCAGGACCCGTGCTAGGGAGTGGGAGGTGAGGGGCCCTGGGGTTTGTGCTCTCTCACCCTTTGGAGGAGCCCTGGAACTGCAGTCTGGCTTTGGGAAGGCACTGGGCACCCCAATCCCAAGGGCTCCAGCCTCAACCCTAGAAGCGTGTTCTGCAGGGACAAGGCTCAGGAGAGGTGTGGAGAGCAGGGGCCTGGGGGAGGGTTTGTTGACCAGAGCAGTGTTCAGTTCAGGCTAGTGGCCGGGGGCTGCCTGGGCCTGGCTGTGGGCTCCTGGGGTCCCCTGGGGATGCCGGGGCGAGGCATGGTCCCAACTGCTGGCTGGGTAGGGCTGACCTCTCCCCCATGTTGTCTTCTTCACCGCCAAGGGCACTGTCTCGGCCACCCTTCCCACTCATATGCTTTAGCTCGCTCACGCCGGACACACCCCTCAGCGTATTCCCCTGCCCTGTATTCCATACAGGCCTGGCTGCACCGCCAAGGCCCTGCCCAGGTCCCAGCCCAGCCCCGCTCCTCGGCTGTCAGCCGGCGCTTGGCCCCGCTCCTCGGCTGTCAGCAGTGGCTGCTGTGCACCCAGCCCCGCCTGCTCCAGACTGAGCACCGTCCGGTGACAACACGGACCCTTCCCAGCCCCTCCTGTCAGCCCCGCCGCTCTGGGGCCTCACACCATCCTGTGCACACTCGCTGGCCCGTGGGTTCATCAGTTCCCAAACTCCAGCCAGAAGCGAGACCCCCGTTGCCCACACTCTGCTGGCAGTAGTCCGCCTCCCTGGCGGCCAGGAGGGCCTCGGCATGGGGCAGAGGACACTTCCCTCAGCCTGCTTCTCTCGTATTCGGCCTCTACCTCTGCTTTTCTCTTTTTTTTTTCTGCTGAGAACATGTTATGCACAGACACAGAGGGAAATGGCCTCCATGCGCTGCACTGCCCCCTGCACCCGCCTCCCCAGCCCTGCAGCCCCACTGGGCCTTGGTGTGTGCACCTGGTGGCTCCAGGCCGATCCCGGGGTCCAAACGCGCAGTCAGCCACCTGATTTGGCAACTGCAGTCCTGAGGCAATAGACAACACCATCCAGGCCAGGCCTACCGTGTGCCTCAAGGAATAGCACCACCACCCCGAGTTCCCCAGGCTGACCCTGCACCACCCGAAGCTCCACCCTGAGCTCCCGTAGCGTCCTGTGGCAGGTCAGCCTTTCTGCCCAAGCTTGCAATCTCGTGGCCTTAGCGGGCTCTTAGCATGGCCTGCAGAGCCCTTCACGGTGAGCTCCTGGCGGCCTTCCAACCCCCACCTGTCCCGGCCCACTGCTGCGCCCCCACACACAGCCCATGAGCCCAGGCTGCACTGGCTCATGCAGAGGGTGGCAGCAATCCCTTCCCCGCTCACCCTCACGCCCTCGCTGCCCCTCAGCCCAGCCGTCAGCCTACCTGTCCCCATGCAGACACGCAGCTAGCAGGGAAAGCCCTGCCCACCCACGCGGCGTCCGAATGTGCCGGGGACCAGCCTCGGCAGGGGTGGGTTGGCTCGACGAAGGCGATGCTGGAAAGAAAAGACAAAGGCCTCGTGCTTTTTCATGCACGTCCTAAGTTGGACACTCCCAGAGATCGCTCTCTGAGGAGTGACAACTGCTAGGAATCACCGTGTCTTTTTATTGAAAATGGGATACATGCAAGTAAATGGGAGAGGGGCTACGTGTTCTAATTATCAATTCATAAAGTTTTAACAATAGAGATCAAAGATTCTATTCAGGGTTTGATTAAGG